TAGTTTATGGGGGTCAGTGAACGTCATAAAAAAAATCAACCAATGACAACACATCCTGCCAAAAATCAAATAGGAAACATGGATGTGTCAGCCCAAATAAAAAGAAGAAAACCATGCATGGGACAAATGACGCTGCAGTGGAGAGGAACTTGATTCAAGGTAGCAGTTTGAGATGCAAGGGTTGGTGATTCATTGTCTGTGAGTTTGACCTGATGTACAACTCCAGAAGAGAAAGAAGAAGAAAGGATGTATGCAACGAATTAATTTCCGTCAACCAGAAGTGACACATCCACCCTGTATGAACTCTCAAATCACAAAAAGGAACTATGACGATAGTCAACCATTTTAAACACTGTAAACCAAATGGAGTCAACAATAAATGGTATTATAGACAGTAAATTTGGCCTTTACTTCATCTCTATATGGCATACATTTTTCAGGCGATAATAGTAACATTTTGAGGTAAGAAAACCCGAGACATTTCTTGTATTTTTCCAACTAAATTATCTGGACACTCATTACACACATTTATGAAAACAAAACATATGGGAAAGACCATACACTTTGCTCATTCTTTATCTTATAATTCTGTCGGATTCTACATTTGATCCCAAGCTCACAGTTTTACTTAGTATTACTGTCTTTCGTCTCTCCAGCACTACATAACAACCAGATTTTGAATAATACTCGTTTTGTTGTTTTCACGTCTTGTTTCTCCTTATTATGAGTATTTTTGTATATACAAATGGTAGGGGATTTATAATTATTTACTCAGAGTTATAATCCCCATACAAACATAATTTGCCAGTTTCACCAATTGCTTTAGGCATGGTGTTTAATATCTACTCTTCATTTAAAATTTTTCATCAATCAGCATTTGGCTGACAATAAATTGGCAGATTTTATAGGCATTTTTAGAAATATAAGCAATGATATAAAAAAACTTTTCAATATTAGGTTTTCCATAGATAAGACTAGTAAGGGGAGATAACTTATAATTGCTGGAGTTTCCGGCCTTGGATTTCTATTCCTTAGGCATCCTTGAGCCCAGATCACAATAAAAAAAATTGGAAAATTAAAACAAAAACTAATCTGAGATACAAAATAATTTGAGAAGAAAATATATAATGTCCAGAAAAATATGTTTATTTAAATTTCCTTGTCCTGTAGTTCATAGATATTTTTATAAAATTATTAATAAAAAACTCGTTTTCATATTTCTTTATAAAATGGTAAATAATAAATTTTACATTGTAGTTGGTTTTATTTTGAAAATTTTGTAATTCTTTTTAAATTTTTGATTAAAAAGATTTATTTTCAAATTTATTTCTTCATAAAATAATAAATAATAAATCTTTATAAAATGATAAATAATAAATCTTTATAAAAATGATAAATAATAAATACTGAATTGTACTTGTTAAAAATAGCATAGATCTTATAAATTTTGTAAACAAACATGGTTGAGGGAGTCTTGGTACTATATCGTAATAGTGGTGTCAACAAAAAATCCATTCCTTTTGAAATACCATTTTTTGGCAGGTTTGAAGGTTAAACTTTGTCAAAATTTGCATAAAAAGGCATTTGTTTACATTTTCATGTCTATGAACTGTTAGTGAAAAAAAATTAAATAAATAAGTGAACGAATTGTTTTTTTTTTTTATCTTATCATAGGCCTAGCTTTAATATGGATATAAAATCGTTATTTTTCATAAATTACAAAATAGACAGATAAATATATTGAAATAATTCCAATGCTTTAAGGATATCACATACATTCCAATTTTTCCGGAAATATTGAATGAAAATTTAAAAGAAAATTGAAAATTAATATATTTTTTTAAGTGCAAAAACTTTATTTAAAGTCCAAAAATGGGCATTTATTTTTTTCAATTTTTCAATTTACAAGTTTTAACGGTAGTAAAACAATGCAATGTTTTATTTTTTTGTTTAGATAGTTGAAATTTTATTAAGCAAAATAGACTAAAAATTAAAAGTATGATAACATTTATTTCAGTTTTTCAAAGTGAAATTAATTTTATCAGACTTTTAATTCTTAGTCTACTTTGCTAATAATAGCTTCAACTATGTAAAAAAATAATTTAAAAAGACATTGTATTTTTTGGTTTCTGTTAACGGGGCATTTAATTTATGGTTCCTCATTTGTTAGAATTGAAATAAATATTAAAAAAAAACTGATAAATTATGACTTAAAAAGTACAATGTGTTTTTTGTTTTCCTTTTTAAACAAAACAGAGGCTATATAAATAAAAACAAGTTATTTTTCTTTTAATATTGTAAAAGTTTTCCAGATTTAGAAAAAAGAAGTAATGTCTTCGTTTTTTTTTGTTTTTACTTTTTTTTTACAAATACCCAGTTTTATTTAAAAAAATAAATAAATAAACACAATTGTACTTTTATTTCATAATTTATCAGTGGGGAGTTATAAATACCACGTTAAGAGAAAATGGAAAAAATCTGGTAACATACGGGCATTAGATTCTGAGAAATGGATATAAAATATTCAAAATTGATGGGTGTACGAATAATTTTGTCATTGACTATATATATATATATATATATATATATATATATATATATATATATATATATATATATATATATATATATAAGCTTTAAGGGATTAATATGCATTGTAATAATGTATTCTTTCTGGGGAGAGGTTGCAAACTTGAGGGTCGCCCTGGGTGGCAAAAAATACTAGCTACGCCACTTATACTTATACACTTATACTAGTTTACTTACAATTCAAGAACATTTCTCAAAAAATGATTTACCAGCTGACTTTTTTTTTCTCTTTCAGCTTCAGTCCGGAGAGTGCCTGCTAATGTATGCTGTGCAACTGACAGATGGAAGGTTACAATACAAAATGTTTCTAGAAATCATGAAGATTTTGAATATGGTATTCTATAACCAAAATCCAGAAGAATTCTCTCAAAGCAAAGATCAGCTTTTCATTTTCATAAAAGCTTTGTTTGTAACCTGCCTCACCTTGGGATGTTCCTATAATCCAAGTGACAGGTGAGGATTTGGAAGAACAGACTTTCACTTGGTTTCCACACTAAATACAAGTGTGTCTCTGCAGATTTATATGTGTGCATGTGTTGTGTAGGAGAAGTCCGAGAGAAAAGTGATACTTTGAGAGTGAAGTGAAGGTTCCCCAGTTGGAGGGGGCACTTTTTTCCTCCCACGTGTGACTACATCTTATAGCCAGAGTTGTAAGAGGAGTAAAAAGGATGGGTGAGAATATCATTGCCTATTTATAGGCTTACGGTCGTCCACTAGTGATGTTCTATTTTAGTAAAGTCAAGCGGGATAACCCACACATATATGAACTTATATGTATATGTATGGACAGCTAAAGAGAAGCAAAACAGCACACCATAAACCTGTTAGGGGCAAACAACAGACTGCAGGTCCCATGTGGCCTGTTTGGCTTTCTGAATGGCATGCGTAATTCCATGAGAAAAATTTTCTTTCATTCTCACTTGTTCACTCACCGTTTCTTGCACATTTGTAAAACAATGATTAAATAAAATGGTTCTTGAATTTTGTAACTTTTCATTGAAGGTAATGTTTTCATTATTTCAAACCATCGGCAATTTTCACTATGGAAGATCATGTGTATCTTTAGAAACAGGAATTGTTCATAATCATTTTCTTCTCTGGAGTGTAAATTAGCTGTGGGGGCCAAACTAATATTGTAGATGACACAATTTATAGGTCACTTGCATATATTTCACTAATCTCATTTTTTTCATTCAATCATTTCCTCTCCAAAATATGAAATAAGATATTGTAATTATTTACACTATTTACATTATTCAAACTGTTGTCCTCATCTTTATTGCCATATTCACAACATTTTGGCCATTGTACGCTCTGGCCTTCTTCAGGATCTGTCTATATTTCTGAGATGAAGTATTGTAACTATTTACACTATTTACATTGTTCGGACTGTTGTCATCATCTTTATTGCTAAATTCACAATATTTTGGCTGTTGTATGCTCTGGCCTTCTTTAGGATCTGTCTATATTTCTGAGATGAGGTATTGTAATTATTTACACTATTTACATTGTTTGAACTATTGTCCTCATCTTTGTTGTTATATTCACAATATTTTGGCTGTTGTAGGCTCCAGACTTCTTCAGGTGATATTTCTTTGAATTTTCTAAATTCCAAGAAATATTGGCAAGATGTAACCGTATCTTCTATGCTAATAATTTCTTTTCTTGCACTTCTTACTTGTGGAACTCTGTTCCAGCTCCATGCTTTCTAGCCAACTTTGATCTTCAAGAATTTAACTGCAATGTCAGTTGTTATCTACTGTCTTCTTGCTTACACTTCTATTGTTCTCGCTCTTTAAGAATGTTTCTCTTTTTTCTTATTCTCAGTAACCACTTGTGTCTTAGTGGCTTTATTGCCTTACATGAGGTCATATGATTAAAAAAAATATGTATTCTGCAATAACCAATCAAAACAACAGTTTTTGTGTCATCCTTGTGTGGGAAAGTGTCCGTCTCATGCAGGGCTTAACAGTTATTTGAGATCACACAACTTATAGGTCATATGTATATAATATATTTTTTCCCTGATTTATACCATGCTCTGTATTTTAGGAATGCTGAAATTTACGCAAGTGTATATTTCTCAAACATCTAGCTAAAAGCAAAACAATTTTAATTCTGTTGCCTCTTCTTACTTTTTTCAGAGATATGGGTAATTACTTGGAGACGATCTGTTTGTTTGTCTATGGGAAATTCTGTGATATCGGTGCCAACCAACTAGCTTCGGAAATTGGAATGACAAATTTGAAAGAAATTATTCCAGCATTGAATTCAGCTCTTACAAGACTCAGCCAAGATAATCTGAAATTCCTTAGCATGACTGCAGCTGCAGATTATCAAAATAATTTGACAGGAAGCTTAGCAAAGGATATTACAGTTGATTTAAAGCAGTTGACTGAAAGTAACAAGGTTCAAGGTGCCATGGGAGTGGAGTGTATGCAAAGAAAACAATTTAATGATATGAAAAGTTTGTATGATGAACACAGTATGGATGTAACAGGTAGAAAAGTTCCACTGCCAGTCATCTCTAAAACTGACGAAAAAAAGTTGCAAAGGCTAAGGAAAATGACTTTTGGAAATGAAGTGGCAATAAATACAATGGTTGATTGTGAAACAGATACAAAGAGGAGTGATGTAATATCAAGACAAAATATTTCAATGATAGATTGTGAGGGAGATATCAAGCAACAGCAGGGAACACGAAGAGAAAAGATTCCAATGGTAGACTGTAGAGCAGACACACAGGAAAGAGAAGAAATGACATCAAGTGCAGATTGTGAGGCAGAGACCAAGGAAAAGTTGGCAAGTCCGGATGAGAATACCTCAAAAGTGGATTGTGAGGCAGAGACCAAGGAAAGGTTGGCATGTCCAGGTGAGAAAACCTCAAAAGTAGATTGTGAGGCAGAGACCAAGGAAAAGTTGGCAAGTCCAGGTGAGAATATCTCAAAAGTAGATTGTGAGGCAGAGACCAAGGAAAGATTAGCAAGTGCAGGTGGGAAAACCTCAAAAGTAGATTGTGAGGCAGAGACCAAGGAAAGGTTGGCATGTCCAGGTGAGAATATCTCAAGAGTAGATTGTGAGGCAGAGACCAAGGAAAAGTTGTCAAGTCCAGGTGAGAAAACCTCGAAAGTAGATTGTGAGGCAGAGACCAAGGAGAGGTTGTCAAGTCCAGGTGAGAAAACCTCAAAAGTAGATTGTGAGGCAGAGACCAAGGAGAGGTTGTCAAGTCCAGGTGAGAAAACCTCAAAAGTAGATTGTAAGGCAGAGACCAAGGAGGTTGTCAAGTCCAGGTGAGAAACCTCAAAAAAGTAGATTGTGAGGCAGAGACCAAGGAGAGGTTGTCAAGTCCAGGTGAGAAAACCTCAAAAGTAGATTGTGAGGCAGAGACCAAGGAAAAGTTGGCAAGTCCGGATGAGAATACCTCAAAAGTGGATTGTGAGGCAGAGACCAAGGAAAGGTTGGCATGTCCAGGTGAGAAAACCTCAAAAGTAGATTGTGAGGCAGAGACCAAGGAAAGGTTGGCATGTCCAGGTGAGAATATCTCAAGAGTAGATTGTGAGGCAGAGACCAAGGAAAAGTTGGCAAGTCCAGGTGAGAAAACCTCAAAAGTAGATTGTAAGGCAGTGACCAAGGAGAGGTTGTCAAGTCCAGGTGAGAAAACCTCAAAAGTAGATTGTGAGGCAGAGACCAAGGAGAGGTTGTCAAGTCCAGGTGAGAAAACCTCAAAAGTAGATTGTGAGGCAGAGACCAAGGAAAAGTTGGCAAGTCCAGGTGAGAAAACCTCAAAAGTAGATTGTGAGGCAGAGACCAAGGAGAGGTTGTCAAGTCCAGGTGAGAAAACCTCAAAAGTAAATTGTGAGGCAGAGACCAAGGAAAAGTTGGCAAGTCCAGGTGAGAAAACCTCAAAAGTAGATTGTGAGGCAGAGACCAAGGAGAGGTTGGCAAGACCAGGTGAGAAATCCTCAAAAGTAGATTGTAAGGCAAAAACCAAAGAGCATGTCGCATCCTTTGGGGAAAGGATTTCAGTTGTAGATTGTGAGAAGAATACTCAGGAAAGGGCAGAAATCTCAAGTGATAAGATTCCAATGGCAGATTTCATGGTCTGTAACCAGAGAAGTGTAAGCACTGGAACCTCAAGTAATGTAATGCAGAATTCAACTTTTGATTCTGGTTTTGAAAGTTTTCAATCTTCTTTATTGAGAGAAAGTCAGAATTCAGTGATGAGACCTCGTATTGTTGGTTTGCCTTCTCATGTGTCTGACATTGAAAGCAAAGTATTGCAGCTTGACAAATTACACAGAAATGTTAATGACTTCATTCAAGAAACATATTCTTCTGCAACTGGAGATATCAATGCATCTTTGGTAAATACAACGGCTTTGACTGCCATCCGTCACTCAAGAAAAGATGGGACTTATATGAGAAATCGCTTACTCAATAAGTTCCAGGTAAGTTTATTTTTATTGCATTATCATGTAATATGTCCAGTAAATACTGTGGGTGCAGTCTTTTTTTATGTGCTATTTTCCTTTAGGACGTGGGCCATTATCATTTTCCACAACTTCCTAATCTTTGTAGCACTAAGCAATAGTTGTTTCTTTACTATCCTTCCTTGTTCGTATTTTGCCATCTATTTACACAAACTCATTAGGGAGGTTACTTTCCATTTCTCTTTGCTCTTCATCATCCTTTATTGATACTTCACACCGCATTGTTAACTATTATATAGTGGATAGAAAAACCCATGAAAATTTCACCGTTTTCCTATTTGAAATTTCTGAGGAATCGTAATTCTTCAGTTAATGATTGAATAAGCTGATGGTGAGTTCTAAGACAATAAAATATCTATAGAAATTCCTCTTTTGCATCGTTAAATATTTTAGCCTAACAACTTTAACAAAACATTGCAATAACAATTATAAATATAAATACTGGTTGTTATTTTAAGAAGATTACCAGATGCAACTGAAGGGTCGTCCTGAAAAAAATCATATTGGAAGAAATCAGACTTCAGCCTTGTGCCAGTTTACCGAGCATGGCTAAACATAGTGTCATGGGATGTTAAGGAAAAAAGTGCTAAAAATCTGCATGTTAATTTACTAAGTAGAACATTCATTGTATGAACCTTTGATATAATGTTGTTGTGCCACACAGCTGTCTCTTTGTTCTTTGTGGTATCATCTTGCCAAAGCTGCTGGATCGTGGATCAGCGACATTGAGTATATGACTTGGCTTTCCCTTGCCTTGTGATCAAAAACAATGTGGGACAGAGTGGGATTGAGGATCGGGGTGACCAACTACAATCCTACTTGCCCGGTAATTGTGGGCGGTATGTGAAATCGTACTTTCCTTGGAGAAGATGTCTAACATGTGGCAGACTGGATACAAATGCGCATGCCATCCAATATTCAGGCAGCGACCCTCCTACCAACAGAGCCAGGTGATGCAACTCAACCAAAAAATTCATCCACTGTTTCATCCTGTCTAACCCATGCAGACTGCCTGACTTGAGTGCCATGAAGGTGGCTGGATTTACATAGGCAAGAAGAGCTACTGCCAAAAGTCTGCACCATTGTGGAGAGTAGATTGAACAAGAACAAGGTAACCAATATACATCACCAAAGTGGCCATCTGGGTGTGAAGAGGGCTTTATACTTTGCCAGGTCTGTTGACCCACTAGTGTTTAGAAAGATTGTCGAATCTGTTGTCAAAGCCTGCTGGTCAAGTGATCCAACACCAGTGCATTGGAAGAGGGAGACACGAGATGTAAAATTAACCTGGAGTAGATTAGCGATGAACATTACTCACTACAGAGGCAGTAATTTTCAAACACTCTTTAATTTCGGTTCTTCTTGGTTTGCAATATGGTGGCCACTGTGTCGACAAGACTTTGCTAGTGTCATACATCAGCTGGAATCAATTTTCTACAAGGGGTGCCCACCAGCTGAAATATTGACTGATAATGACATTGCGTTCACTTGTAAGAACTTTAAGAAATTTTTAAATAGCTGGGGGGGGGGTGCACTTGAGATTCTGATGCGCGCATGTTCCAGCTGGGAATGGGATTGTCAAACACAATCATAGAAGTATCAAGACCATCACAGCCAGAAAGCAATGTTCGGTGCAAGAGGTGGTCTGTTGGCACAATGTTACTTCCAAGGACAGCCTTTCATCTTCCACAGCACTGGCCAATGTGCTGCATAGGTACCACATCTGGTTATGGACAAATCTTCCCTCATTTGCACTGCAAAACTTACAAAGAAGAGGACATCATCAAGATAAAGTCTCCACATGGTAGATGCACAGCCAAATTGAAAAACAGGCTGCGTAACCCAAGTGATCAGTCCACAGTCAGTGCGGATTGATAGAACGTCGCTGTATGTGAAGAATTTACGCCCTTTTCTGGGCTCATAACCATCATCAGACTCTGATAGTGACACAGAGGAGAGTGAATGATTTGTATATTTAAAACCGAGTTCATTAGGTGATTACTTCAATACCAGCAGTTCAGAGAACAATCCTGGAGCACCTGATGACACTCCAGTCCGTAGTTTGTCTGAGAACAAGATTTGCATTGTTCCTCTTTGAAAGAGTACCCGGCAGATAAGACCTGCCCCGGGATGCATCAGCTCTAATCAGGGGATCAGGGGGAGTTTAGCAGTGACCCAAAAGGGCCAGAGTTGCATGTATGTTTTGCAAGGGAGTGTGGAGACGGCGAATTGACGATTTTCAGACGGATAGTGAATCGGGCAGCACTTTGTGCTGATGGAAGTGGTGGTGTCACTTGTAGCCATTTTTATTGGCTGGTTCTGGATGCTCATTGGCTGAGCGATAACTGGGTCAGATGCATAAAAGCATATGCTCATTCAAGAGGAGGTTGAGTTTTTGTTTCTGACAGGGAATGGTATATTGGAGATTGAGACACAAAGAGAAGTGCGGATTTGTTTTGCCTAGTGGACCTATTGAACTTGCTCTAACTTTTTTCCTTTCTTTTCCTGTGTGTGTGCATCCAACCAATTTTTACACAAGCTATTTCAGCTCCTTGTCGTTGACATTCTCTAAGCTTCTTCATGCACACGTCCACATCAGCAATAGTTGAGCACCACTCCCCATCAGAAGCAGAAACCCAACCTCCTCTTGAATGAGTGCACCATGCTTTTATGCACCTGATCCAGCCATCACTCAGTTAATGAGCACCCAGAACCAGCTAATAAAAATGGCTACAAGTGACACCACCACTTCTGTCCACAACCAAGTGCTGTGCAATTCACCTTCAGTCCGAAGCTCACCAATTTACCATCTTCATGCTCCTTTGCAAAACATCCATGTAACTTTGGCGCTTTTGGGTCGCTGAGGTAAGTTTACTTTACATAGAACAACTTGCAAAAGTTTTGTAATTTTTTTCCAGTGAATTGTGTCTCATTATCCAATAATATGGTATCTGGTATGCCATATCTCGCAAACAGTTCATGCAAGAAATTCACTACTTAAAATAATTGTAAAATGGAAATGAAATAAAATTTTCGTCTGAAATCAGAGATACTTGAAAGATTAAAAGATAATCCCAGATAAAAATAACAAGACCACGAACAAAACTTCATATAAGCAGTTCCACAATGACCAAAACCAAAAAAAAAACTTCCTCCTTCAAAAGGAAGCAAAAGGAACAACTTTTAGGCAATATGAAAAATCAGCCAACATTTAAGGGCAATACACCAGCTGGTTTGCTCGCAAGGGAGCTAATTCAAGACGAGATGAAGAGTTGCTTCCCTTTGTCTTATCTATTACTCTCGCTTCAGAAACATCTTGGTCTTTTATATCTATGTATGGGAAAACTATATTTTTATATATCAAGAACAATTTTCGTCCTTTTGGAATTAAAGTGATGTTTTCGTTGATGCTACACATGCGCATGAAGGAGAGGAGACGCTGAAGTTTTAAGTTAATTTTTTTTTAAATATGTGTTTACGGCTGATATTTAATATATATTTTAAAAAAAATTTTAATAAACTAGCATTTTTAAAATTAAAACTATCATTGTAAAATAACACACTCAATGCATTAATTGTTCATTGTAATAAGTCTCACCTTAATTTTGATTTAAAAATGCTACTTTAATTAAAAGAGAAATTTACTAAGAACAAAATGTATAGAAAGGCGTTTTATTGCAAGATCATCAACAGTAGATTTATGTCCAGGTCTCTTATAACATCTCACATTTGTTGGTTATCTTCTGTTATAACAATATATTTAATCAATATAAGCATCACTTTAGTCTGATGAAGTCCTAAAAAGACTAAACATGTCGCTAATACAAAATAAGAGTGGGGGTAGCAAAAGGAAGTGAAGGAGAATTGAAACTATAATCATATTGATGAAAAAAAAGGGTGGGCCATATTACTGTTCAGTCTATGCACTAGTTTCAATTCTTATTCATTTCCTTCTGCTAATTTCGTATGATGAATCTTTCCTGTGAAACCTTGAGCCACAGCCTCACCACATTATGTGTGGCTGCTGTTGTTTCCATGTAAAGTTTTATGAGTTGGAGTTGCAGACTCTATATACAATCAGTTTTAAATTCAATGATTTCCTATATTTAGGCTGGATGCGAACCAAGGGTAGATGTTCTAGTACAGTGCTCCTCAAAGTGTGGGTCTGCTCTCTTTTAACCCTTTCAGAGGGAAAGCCCTTTTAACTTTCCATCGGCATGGCTGATGCTAACCTTCAACAGAAGGAAAACCCATTTAACTTTCCATCGGCATGGCTGATGCTAACCTCCATCAGAGGGAAAGCCCTTTTATCTTTCCATCGGCATGGCTGATGCTAACCTCCATCAGAGGGAAAGCCCTTTTAACTTTCCGTCGGCATAGCTGATGCTAACCTCCAACAGAAGGAAAACGCTTTTAACTTTTCGTTGACATGGCTGATCCTAACCTCCAACAGAAGGAAAACGCTTTTAACTTTTCGTTGACATGGCTGATCCTAACCTCCAACAGAAGGAAAACCCTTTTAACTTTCCGTCGACATAGTTGATGCTAACCTCCAACAGAAGGAAAACGCTTTTAACATTCTGTCGACATAGCTGATGCTAACCTCCAACAGAAGGAAAACCCTTTTAACTTTCCGTCGGCATGACTGATGCTAACCTCCATCAGTGGGAAAGCCCTTTTAACTTTCCATCGACATGGCTGATGCTAACCTCCAACAGAGGGACTCATTGTGCCTTCTTGGAATAACATTAGATTGAATCAATTACTAGGTCTGTTGCTAGGCAAATTGGTTCACTGTGTCATCCTAGAAAATCTTTCTTGCCAGAATTTTAAATATTTATAAGTCTACCATTCATCCTTATTTTGAATAAGGTTGCCACATTTTGTGTTCCTGCTATATATTTAGAGATTTTTGATAAAATCCAAAAAAGAATCTGCAATATTTTCGAACTCTTGGATCAGTCACTTTACCACCGCCATAATGTACCTTCCCTGTGCCTTGTCTATAAATATTTTCATAGTAATTGTTCTGATGAGCTTTCGTCTGTGGTATCTAGGGTTTATGAATTTAAGTGCAGTACTAGATTGGATGTAATGTCTCATCATTTTACAGTTGAAATGGCAGATAGATGTAACCATAAGTTTTGATAAGAGTTTCTTCTATTGCACTTCTCATTTGTGGACCTCTCTTCCATCTAATTGCTTCCTAATCAATTTTGATTTTCCAAAATTTAAATACAATATCAATCGTTATCTACTCTCTTCTTGATTACTCTTCTATTGTTCTCACTCCTTAATAATGTTTCTCTTTTTTTCTTATTCTTTTACACTCAGTAAACCCTTGTGTCTTAGTGGCTTTATTGCCTTGCATGGGGTGAAATGATTAGAAAAACAAATTTAAATGCAATATCAATCATTATCTTCTGTCTTAATTCCTCTTCTTTTATTGTTCTCATTCCACTTGTGAACCTCTCTTCTTTCTTTGCACTCAACTTTGATCTTCAAAAATTTAAATGCAATGCCAATCTTATCTTCTGTCTTCTTAATTCCCGTCCTTAATAGTAGGTTTTCTCATCTTATTTACCACTCACTAAGCCCATTGCATCTTCATAGCTTTATTGCCTTGCTTGGAGTGAAATGATTAAAAAAAAAGTAGCTGTCTGTGTGTGTTCTACTATTTTATGTTACCTCTTTTTGATGTCTTTATCTGTAGAGGCAAGAATCTTTGACAGAAGAACCATTGGTGAATATATCAAGAGCTGATGATATCTACCAGGAATCTTTGTCATCATTTATTGGGAAACTCTTGCAGGAGCATCTCAAACCAAATATATTGTCTTCTGAAACCTGTTTCCATCTTCCAATTTCCAAATTAAATGTCAATTCTGCTAATCAAAATGAAACCATCAACAAGATACAAAGTAAGAATTTTTTCATTATTATAAATCTGATTATGAGGTCTCTATTTGCCCCTGTTGCTTCTTTTTCCTTTCTTGTTTATGGCACATTTTTTGTGTAGACCTATGAATAATTTGGTTTATTTGAAGATTAATTGCTCCTCGTTAAATATAATTGGCAGAAATTTCCAACAAAGAGAATTGACAAAGTTTCCAATAAACAATAACAAAAAAAAAAAAGAAAAGAACAGGGCAAACATAATATGAAGTAAACAATATCAATTTCAACATATGAGGATCCAATAACGTCATTCAGTTTATATGTTTGTGTTATATATCCCTCTAGTGACCTGCATACAAGTCCCCATATTGTGCAACAGTGAGGATCTCAAGATATAGCAAGATATGGTGTAGAAACTGTCCAAATGTTCTATAGTTCCGAGTGCTTTTGGCTATACTTTTAGCCATTATCAAGGATGATGTTTTTAGTGTAATAGCAATGTTTTATGTAGTTGTGTGACCATTTTATATTTTTATAAGTTTGGTTTGATCAAGAGCACAGTTCCTTAAGCCGCATTTGAATTCATAGATAATGGTCATTCCTTGTAATTTTGACTTTGCTGGTGTGTTGTTATTTTAACAATATTAAAAAGTATAGCTGAAGCACTTGCAACCATAGAACATTTGGACAGTTTCTACACACTCTGTATCCAAAAAAGAAAGCACTTGTTCAAACACAAGGAAAATTAAATAAAAAGCTTAACAATAGTACCTTGTCTGTTGTTTTTAATGAAACATGCATAAATGAAGGATTGCTGCCTAAATACACAATATATATATATATATATATATATATATATATATATATATATATTTGGAGAAATATATTTTTAGGATGTGCTATATTAATGTGATAAAATGCTCAATATAAAAGATAGAGCGTATGTAAATATAAAAGTGAACATTAAAGTCAACACTTAGAGGCAACAGGCTGTTTCATGCTAGACACAATCTAGTCTAGCATGAAACAGCCTGTCGCTTCTGAGTGTTGACTTCAATGTTCACTTATATATATATATATATATATATATATATATATATATTATTAATTATAAAAACGTGTTATAAACTGCTACAAAAATGTAATCATGTTTCAGCACTCTAGTGCTTCTTCAGGGTTGGCTACCACAGCCTGAAGAAGCATCTGCCTTTCTGAAATATTACATTTTTGTAGTGGTTTATAACATGTTTTTGTTATAATTGTTAATAAATATTATTAAACGATATTTTTAAAAAATATGATGTTTGGAAATTGATATTAACCTACCTTACACTTGGACACACACACGCACACACACACACACACACACACACACACACACATATATATATATATATATATATATATATGTGCAAGACGAAAGTAGGCAAAGCAACAATAATAAGGTAAAAGCTTCAGAAAGGTGTTAACACACAAAATGGACACAGACAAGTGATCGCAGCATTCTGATATCAAGACAAGAACAAGAATATGGCAGATGTGAGAGAGAAGTGGTCAATCTTATCAGCTAGGAAGAAATCCCAGCATATATTTCTATGATTTGTCTATAAATTTGTGGAGGGAGTGGTATGTTCTTAGCAGTCATTCCTTATTGGATTGGAACCAACAGTTTTCAATTCTAGAATGAGATATGAAACTACTTAGAATGGTTCACTCATAAAAAAAATAGGAAAAAATTTTGTTTGAGAAATAATTTTTGTGGATTAGCATTCATTAGACCTTCATTTTCAGATTAGCATTCATTAGACCTTCATTTTTAGATTATCTTTCATCAGACCTTCATTTGTAGATCAGCATTCATTAGACCTTCATTTGTAGATCAGCATTCATTAGACCTCCATTTGTAGACCAGCATTCATTAGACCTTAATTTGTAGATTAGCATTCATTAAGAATTCATTTTTAGATTAGCTTTCATTAGATCTTAATTTGTAGATCAGCATTCATTAGATCTTCATTTCTAGATTAGCATTCATTAAGACTTCATTTTTAGATCAGCATTCATTAGACCTTCATTTGTAGATCAGCATTCATTAGACCTTAATTTTAGATTAGCTTTCATTAGAACTTCATTTGTAGATCAGCATTCATCAGACCTTCATTTGTAGATCAGCATTCATTAGACCATTTGTAGATCAGCATTCATTAAGACTTCATTTTTAGATCAGTATTCATTGGATCTTAATTTGTAGGTCAGCATTCATTAGATCTTCATTTGTAGATCAGCATTTATTAGACTTTCATTTGTAGATTAGCTTTCATTAGACCTTCACTTGTAGATCAGCATTCATCAGACCTTCATTTGTAGATCAGCATTCATTAAGACTACATCTTTAGATCAGCATTCATTAGACCATCATTTGTAGATCAGCATTCATTTGTCCTTCATTTCTAGATTAATATTCATTAGACCTTCATTTGTAGATTAGAATTCATTAAGACTTCATTTTTAGATGAGCTTTTTTTTGTATATGTTTATAAGTTATTAAGTGAAGAGTGACTGTATAAGATTTGCCGTTGAGGAGTGGTTGTATAAACTGATCGTTAATTTAGGAGAATTGTATAAAACCAATTGTTGAGTGATCGGTAGCTGTATAAGCTTGGTTGCTAAGTGAGATTGACTGTTGTAACATGGCCCTCAATGTTAAATCAGATGTAGGATCAATTTATTAAGGGACATGCTTTCCTTGTGTTTCCTCTTTCTTCCTTCTTTTGTTTGTTACTTCCTGTCTAGACTGAGTCTTATCATGACTTAAAAATGGTGGGAAAGTGTTTGGGGTTGCTTGACAACAGACAGAGTGACCTCCTAAGAAAGTGAGTAAAAATTGGTCACCTAAGCTCACATGACATACATCAACATTTGGAATTTTTGGTATTGTAATTTCAGTTTTCAGATAATCTCTGACCATGACAGATCATGAGAAATTTGACTCTCAGCGACCACTTAAGAGAGATGCAAAATTATTCCATTACTTGTTGTGTATGGAATAAGGAATTATCACCCCAAAGATCTTGGATTTATTTAACTACTTGATATGTAGTAAATAAAAGAAAATTTTTTTTTTCCAAAGAACCTGGAAATAAAAAAGAATATTATGCTCAAAGAAATCATCTTAATCTTATTTTAAATGCATTCCAACTACCAGAGGGGAACGAAATACAAACACACTATTTCAGAGTCTTGGATCTTATATGCAGAAAGAAGAACTGACTTTTATGCGGACATTTTGCAGTGACTCTGTCTATTGACCATTAAAAACATTTGAAGTTACAAATTCTTCAAACACAAATACTTGAATCAACACCCAGTATTAGATAAGTGTCTTTAATTGGTTTTACGTTTATCATCCAATATTCTTCCCATATTTTGTTGTTTCTTTTTCGTTATGTAAAATTGTTATAAACGTTCATGTTGTGTTTGTTATTTGTTGGTACCTGTTTGTGTTATCCTATCTGAGTGAACTCATTGTTTCTTTTTTTGAACCTGTCGTTCATATTTCTATTTGTTGCAATTTCATAACACTGTATAATCTACTTGCTTAGTGAGGAGTGGTTGTATAAAACCAGTTGTTGAGGTATGATTGGTCTTTAAGTGAGGAATGTCTGAATAAACTGGTTGTTAAATGAGGAATAGCTGTATTCTTTTTTGGCTTTATTTTGACTTTTGTCTCTTTCAGTTGTTGTAACATGTTATCTTTTCTGCTTAACAGAAGCAACCTTGTATCAATACAATCCGGTGACATATGTGTGGTCAGGCCAGGACACAATCGTCTGTACTGGTAAAGAATTGACTCTTGGAAAGGGGAAAAAAGGATCATTTCGAAATGTCTATCAAATCACATTCTTACATCAGGATGAACCATTGGGAAAGTAAGTTGTAATCTCGTGTTTCATCCTAAAGAAAATGATATTAGATTGCGCCAGAATTTTATGCAAATTGAACACAATGATGTCAATTTAAAGTACTAAGGAACTCCAGTTTAAAAGACTATTTTAATAAAAATGAATAAAAAGGCAAATCAGGAATCGTCATAGAATTCTTTTTCTTTATTATCTGTGAATTGCAATGCTTTCCTGAGAAAAATATTGGAATGGATTTCTGTTCCCTTGTTTTGAATTTAGATTAGTCCTTCTTGTAGACTGGCTGCCAAACAAGGCTATAACTCTGTTTACTCCCTAGATAATGTAGGAGGAGGGAACAATGCTTATTATTATTATTATTATTTATTATTGTTTCCTCTGATTTCTGTTGTATACACATTTCCTTCTTGGTCCCAACCAGAGATTTAAAGTCAGAAATGGCTTCATGACATTTTCCACTGATTATTTTTTGTGAAAAACATACAAAAAAAAACTTTAACACATATTTTACATAGATAAGACATAGATTGAGCTGTACTTGTGAGTAAATTTCTTAATTTCTTTAAAGCATGGGCTATCAGGAATCCCTTTAATGAGTCTATCGGAATCTTTTCCAATCAATCCGAGGATCATTATTATTATTATGATGATAATAATAATAATAATAAATTGTTATTATAATAATAATAATAAGCATTGTTTCCTCCATGTTAATTATAATAATATTAATTATTATTTTTATAATATTGATGATAATAATAATAATAATAATTGCTTATTCTTTTATCTATCTACCATTTTTGTTTATTTCTTTGTTTTTTTTTCATTGTCAAGTTTTTTGGTTGTTTCAGTACTGCTATATAATTTGTAGTTGGAGGAGAATTGAATTTATGGCTGCCTTAGCTTGCTTGCTTTACAAGAATAAAAACTACAACTACTCCGCTTTTCCAACCAGGCTTAAGCTTAAAGAAGATGTGTGTTCATGCCTTCTATTAGCAGGATTGCCTGACAGTTAAATAGTACCAGCTACCCTGCTATATACACAGAGTACCTTCATTTACCTGTACAGCCTTGCTACTTAACAAGAGGTGGACAGAATTAGATATCTTTTCTATTTGCTCATAATTGAGAGAGAAATAGATTCATGGCTACACTTGGTTGGATTGCTTTACAAGTTAAAGGGATCCATTTTTTTTGCAATTTACAAATAGGCAGAGGGATAAATGGATTCATGCCTACTCTTGCCTGGATTGCTTTACAGGTTAAAAGGACCCATTTTCTCTGCAAATTTACAAATAGGGAGAGGGATAAATGGGTTCATGCCTTCTTTTGGTTGTATTTCTTTACAGGTTAAAGGAATCCATTTTTGCAATTTACAAATATGGAAAGGGAGAAATGGTTTCATGCCTACACTTGGCTGGATTGCTTTACAGAATAAAGGGATCCATTTCACTGCAATTTACAAATAGGGAAAGGGATAAATGGATTCATGCCTACTCTTGGCTGGATTGCTTTACAGGTTAAAGGGATCCATTTTTTTCGTTAATTTACAAATATGGAGAGAGATAAATGGATTCATACCTTCTCTTGGCCGGATTGCTCTACAGGTTAAAGGGATCCACTTTCTTTGCAATTTAGAAATAGGGGGTGTAATGGATTCATGCCTTGTCTGGATTTCTTTAAGTGTTAAAGGGATCCATTTTCCCTGCTATTTACAATCAGGGGACAGAGAAATGGATTCATGCCATGTTTTGGCTGGATCCCTTTAGAAGTTAAAGGGATCCAGTTTCCCTGCTATTTACAACAGTGTAGGAAGAAATGGATTCCTACCTTCTCTTCTGATGAGTAAGAAAATGAGAAAATGCATACAAAGAGAAGAGGCAGGAGATAATGGATCATCTTAGTTGTATTGGAAGGGATAAGGTAAAGAATGAGAAGATACAGACAAATGTTGAAAGAAAAGCAGAGGCAGGAGATAATGGATAATCTTTACTGTATGGAAGGGATAAGGGAGAGAATGAGAAGATACAGGCAAAGAGTGAGAGAAGAGAAAGGGCATGAGATAATTGGTAATCTTAGTTGTATTGGAAGAAATAAGGGAGAGAATGAGAAGATACAGGCAAAGGGTGAGAGAAGATTAGAGGCATGAGATAATGGATAATCTTAGTTGTATTGGAAGGGATAAGGGAGAGAATGAGAAGATACAGACAAATGGTGAGAGAAGAGCAGATGCATTAGATAATGGATCATCTTAGTTGCATTGGAAGGGATCAGGTAGAGAATGAGAAGATACAGGCAAAGGGTGAGAGAAGAGCAGAGGCAGGAGATAATGGATCATCTTTGTATTGGAAGGGATAAGGGAGAGAATGAGAAGATACAGTAAAGTGTGAGAGAAAAGGTGAGGCATAGAATAATGGATAAGTTCAAATGTTAATACATATGGAATTTTACGAAGTCAAGCAAATTGTAGATGATAAACTTTTTTCTTATTTATAGTTTTGTATACGTTTTCGTCCATTTCTAAAATCAAAATGTTTTTCTTTTTAAAATTGCAGATATGTGAGCAAACGTTATCGTCAACAGAGGGAACCTCTGCAGTACATGGACGACGTTGTTTCTCAGATGCAAGCTGGGCTCTATGTGAACCACTTCAACCAGGAATTGAGGGCCTTTAAGTCAGATCTTCGGATCCATTTCTTGACTGCTGCCTACATGCTTTTGTATGACTCGGAAGGAAAGGTTGAAGATTGGATGAACATTGAACCATTTGTAGATGGTGAATTCTTGAAACTAACAAACAACTATGACTTTTGCGAACCCCGGGGCAAGAAAGTTTCAACATCTTTCACCCACTTTACCTATGTAAAGTCAGGTGGCAAATTGATGGTATCAGATCTACAGGGTTGGTTACCAAGTGGAACTCAAAATTTGATCTATCTGACTGATCCCCAGTTTCATACAGACTCAGGGGACAGCAGCCCGTTTGATTTTGGTCAGGATGGAATGAAAGTGTTTTTTGACGTTGTCCACCCAGAATGTAATGAGATATGTAAAACTTTGAAGTTAGAGAGACCAAAGTTGTGATCTTCCTGTTTGGAAATGTTCACCACAAAGAAATTAACAGCCTAAAAGAACAAATATTCTTCTAAAGGCTATATCACTTCAGGATGTGGGCAATCATGGCTCTCCACAATTTCCTCTCCTTTGTAGCTTTTAGTAAATTTTGTGTTTTGTTATCTCTTCTAATCCCTGTTCTACTAACCGTTTACATAAGCTTGTTAGTCAGAGGTTATACACTGCTTTCCTCTGTACTTCTTGCCATTAATGGGTCTTGTATGTGTCAGACTTTCCAAGCCTTCTTTCCTCATTACCCTTGAAATTCAACTGTTCCTTTTTGATGCTACATATAAGTGTTATTTTTGTTTCCATTTTCTCTAAAATCTCATCATTGCTCATGTGTTTGGTCCATGGTATTCTCAGCATCCTTCTGTAGAACCACATTTCTATCACCTCAACTTCCTTCTTCAACTGTGAGGAGATTGTCCAGTATTCACTACTATATAGGAAGACTGATATTACGTAAGATTTTAATACTCCACGTTTCTAATGAAATTTTCTCGTTCCTTAATACTTTGATTAGCTTTTGGAAGTCATCTTTCGCTATCCCAATGCACTTTCGAATTTTGGTGTCACATGTTCCATCCATTATTAAAATACTTCACAGATATTTAAAGTTTTCTATTTGCTTTATTTTCTGTCTATATTTCTGAGATGAAGTATTGTAACTTTACATTGTTCAGGCTGTTGTCCTCATCTTTATTGACATATTAACAATGTTTCGGCCACTGTACACTCCAGCCTTCTTCAGGTGATATATCTGGAAAAGGTACCACACATGTAATTAGAGCAGTCAACTCTGTGGACTAAATAAAGGGTTGGTTAGAAATTTTAACATATATTACCTGAAGAAGGCTGGAGCACACAACAGCCGAAACATTGTGAATATGGAAATAATGATAAGGACAACAGTCTGAATGATGTAAACAATGTAAATTGATTTATTTTGGTATCACCAATTTGTAAATCACATGTTGGGTGGTTCCTTTTGCTGACAACCATACATTCTTTGTTCTTACAATTGATAGGTAGTCCTTTTTTCTTGCTTTCCTTTACTGCCTCCTGTAGGAGTTTTTGTAGTTTCCTTTGTGTTTCTATCAAGACTGTCTCATCTTCATATTTTCTTTTGTTAAGATTGTGTCTGCCAATAATGAATCCTGGTAGGATTTCTCATTCACTCAGAACCGCCTCACTATATTGGTTGAATAAGTCTGGTGAGAAGATGCATCTTTGTCTTATGCCCCTTTCTATCATTGTGTATATACTGAAATCATTTTCTATCTGTAAGCAGGTGGTTTGCTTCCAGTATATGTTCGGGATAATACAACAAATTTAAAAATGGTTATCTTCATCTTGTTGGTTTTCAAAATTGGTCCCTACTTTAGTGCTCTTCATTTGTATGTGACATTCTGTCTGTAATTCTAAATCTTATCTAAGCTTCTCTGATCACAGGCTCTGTAGACTGGAATCTCCATCATTATTTCAAACACATTTAAACTGGTTTATTCTCCAACTATCCTTAAGTATACATGACATACTCTAAATAGTTTCAAAACAATCTTTTATTGGCATTTCTTCAAACTAACCATCATGCTATTTAAAAAATATCTTGAACAGTTTTGTTTTTAATTAACCTGCTTGGTGGCTGAGATAGTTTTGTACTTTCTGGGTAAAACGCCATGATTTTTAATACTGATTTTAAAGGTATGCATCTTCTTCTCTCTTGAAAAAGCATAATATTCAAATTAAAATTTCCATCAATTTGATTTTCTAATGGTATCTGCTATTTTTGGATCACAAAGAAATAAAGCTATAGACTTTGACTGTGTCCCTCGTTGACTTGGTCCCTCATTGAATGTTTCTCTCATCGACTGTGTCCCTCATTGACTGTGTCTCTTGTTGACTGTGTCCCTCGTTGACTGTGTCTCTTGTTGACTGTGTCCCTCGTTGACTGTGTCCCTCGTTGACTGTGTCTCTTGTTGACTTGGTCCCTCATTGAATGTGTCTCTCGTTGACTGTGTCCCTGATGATAACGCATCTTGTGGCTGACTGATCATGGCTGAAAAATACTGAGATCACATTCAACCCCGATAATTTACCAAAAAAAAACAACAAAAAAAACCAAACAAAAACACGCTCAAGTGATTGGATTTTATTGTGTTTAGTCCACAAGGCCACAAGTGTTGGGTACCCACTGAGGATTGAATTTTTACAGAAGGATTACTTAGAAAGAAGTTAACCACTGCACCACCTTAGTTGGTTAGCTTTTCATCAAGGAATAAAATTGTTGCATTTATTTTTATTTACAACTAACAAAAACTGTTAAAAATTGTATATTTTGGAAATAAATATTAATTTTGATAAATTCTGTCTTGATATGGAAAAAGATATTAACAGATAAGTAGCTATATTCTAAAATTTTTTAAAGTGAGCCACGGTTCAAAGGAAGGTTATGTTTAGAAGTAGATCTCCAGTGCTAAAATGTGTTCCTTTAAGACATTTCCTTTCTTTCTTGAATATCTGGAAATGCAGAAATGTTTTGTTCTTGGGAAATGTAGTAGAGTAGTTTCTGGTTATCATTTTTTTCTTTTATCCAAGACAAAGCCTATGTGCCACTCAAGGCAGAAGGTTATTAAATAGGGGAACATATTCAATAAGTCTTTAAAGGAACAAGATTCAGGAAGACAGAAGATGGTGATTGAAGTTGCATTTCAATTTTTGAAGATTGTAGTTGGGAGGGAAGTAAGAAGTCGGAAGGGAGTTCTCAAAAAAAAAAAAAAAAAAAAAAAAAAAAGGAAAAAGAAACTGTTTGAGTAGAAGTGGTGGTTGTAGTTTAGCTAGCTCAACAGTGAGACCTAGTTGCCAATCTAGTAGCATGTGTAAATTCATTTAGTTGAGGTACTAAGGAAAAAAGCTAATCAGAACAGTTACCATGAAAATATTTGTAGAAAAGACAGAGGGAAGCCACATGATGTCAGTGAGAAAGTAACTGAAGTGAAGATGCCAGGTAAGGATTGATTGCATCACAGACCCTTCTTTGAATTTTGTCAAGAATCTCGATATGTACAGCTGGAACCCTGGACCAGATATAGAAACAGCATTCAATGCATGGACGAATGGTAGATTTGTAAATGTGCAAGATAGATTCTGACGAGAAAAACATTACTGGCATGACACAGTGAGCCAATTTTTCAAGCAGCAGACGTAGCAATTGATTTCATATAAAACGTTGGTAACGATGGGAAAAGTTCACTATTTACATTATTCGGACTATCGTCCTCACCTTTGTTGCCATATTTATCACAACGTTTCGGCTGTTGTACGCTCCGGCCTTTTTCAGGTGGTTGGAATGTCAAACTGAACCCTTTATTTCGCTCACTGGGGTAGACTGTTCTAGTTCTACGTGCCATGTCTAATGGATGTCAGTTATCAGTTAACATTAAAGACATTATTGTCTGAAGAAATAAAATTTTTCCGAAGAATAATGAACTTTTACAAGAATTTAAAAAAAAAAATTAATTATGATAATTTATAATAGTTTAAAATCGTGTAAAATTCTGTAAACTAAACAATGATTTTCTGTCTGACAATTTGGGCCGAAACGTTGTGATAATCAAAACAATGAAGATGGGGATATTCGTTCAGCTCTAAATTATCTAAACTAGTTTTAACCTGCGAAAATTTCATGGTTTTCCAATTTTAATATTCCGATCAATCGTAATTCCTAAGTTAATGATTGATTAAGCTCATGGCGAGTTTTATGACAATAAAATATCCGTAGGAATTTTCCTGTCACATTATTTAATATTAGAGCTTAACGACTTTAACAAAATATTCAATAACAATTATAAATATGAATGCTGGGCGTTATTTTAAGAAGTGAGAAAGTAGACATGAAAAGATTTGAATTTGACAACTTTTCACTGAAACAGACATTAAACACTTCTTTCTTTCTTTCATTTTCTTATTGAAACCAAGTAGCGTCTTTCCCCCCACTTTCTACACCATGAAAACGAAACAGTCCATTATTTATGAGATATTGGCACGGCGTAACGGTCGTGCGAACTAACGAAGAGAGCGACAAGCACAATTAAAATAGGATTCTTAGAATCTAAAGAATATGTTTCAGGTTTAAATAATCCATAAAGGGTTGATAAGCCGTAAAATACAAATCAAGCTCGTTCGGTTAATCTATTTTGAAGGATTTTAGTCATTTTAGTATAATGAATAACGTTTAAATACTATTGTAGACAGTCTAAAAGTTGTTGTCCAAATTCAGAGCCTTCTCATCCCTGTTGGAGATGCTCTTCCCTGGCTGATCATGTCTTTAGTCATATAGCCGTACTCGCCACGCTAGCATAACTGTGGGTTGGTAGGATATTTAACCCATAGATAGGGGTTAATAGCTGCTGATTCTGAGGAGTTCAACCGCCCTTTACCAGCTCTTGTTTTTTGTGCTGGGGTTCCACTTATCTCCCTCACCTGGCCAGGTTCTGGTGGGGGAACCGGTTTAGTCACCGACCACTCGACCACTCAGGTTTTGAATTCAGAGCTGTTTTTCTTCTTGACGGGTTGCCAACCAAGGCTATATGGTCCAGTCTGTCTATATTTACCCATAACTGGGAAGAGGGGGATTCATACCTTTTCCCAAGGGTATTTGCAAGTAAATGAATGTAATGAACCCGACTGGAATTCGAACTCATCTCTCTGATTCCACAATCCGAGCCACTATCCATCACTCCACCGGGCTTTCAAAAACCGCTGTAAAGTAGACATATTCTTAATCTCTTAAATAAAGTCAGTACATTATCAGTGATGTTAGTTGTTTTTTTTTCTAAATATTAACATCTATTATTTTCAAATGCATTTCACAGTTGAAGGTGACAAGTGCTGTCTACGTATGCATGAATGTATGTCAGTGAATCTTGTCGCGTGGAAAAGTGCCTGGTGACCTCTCTACCTGATAA